CATGAAGGGTGCGCTGCATCCTGCTAAGGGTGTTCGGCATCTTGTGCTCTCTTTCTTGCGTACGGATGACAGCCGAGTATGACTTAATATAATGTCTGGTGCTTCACCTTCCAGAGACAGTTGTAAGCACTGTGTAACTGCCTCGAGGGTGCTTGACCATTTTAACACAACGTGGTGCGATCATCCCCCTTGCGCGGAGTGAGGGTTCTCCACCCCGCACAACATGATCTACTCGACCGCCATTATGGCTACCGCCAAAAAATAAACAAAGGTAAAAACAAAAAAGGTAAGCTGGTTGCCGAGTTCACGAAGTGAATTGGCTTGTTGTAGAACGTCGTTGCCAAGCGACGAAAACCCAACCCCGATGGCAAACACCTGGGGGGGCAGGGTTAACGCGTGTGTTGGTTGTTCGTCTCTTCTGGTCTCTGTTGGCGCCAGTCTACACACGTTTCGGTGTATGATGTGTTTGGCGTATCAGATGAAGATTTTTCTTGTTTTGCCTTCTTGCAGTTTTGATGCTCCCACCTTGCCTTCTCTGGTGCTTGCTTGCCTTTTTGAGTTGTCCTGGTAGTCGAGAAGGGCTCAGCGGTGGTGAAGAAGAGCCGTGTCCAAGAGTTTCGAAAGAGTTTGAGGGAGACAAGTGTGGAGAAAGCGAGAAATATCCACGAAATAAGTGAATGAGCCTTTGGCGACCTAAGTCATTCTACAGGCGGGCAGGCTTCGATGACTCTGTACAACTCCAAACACGTTTCGAAGAGAGGGGGGGGGGGCTGGAGAGAGCGAATTAACAAGAGCATGGGAGATGTAGAGATACTATCCTGGTGAACACACAAGCGGAGATAGATCAAGCTTGACCACCAGGCTTGGAGCGGGGGCACGACTGCTCAGCCGAGCAACCAACTCTTGAAATTGTCGATCCCGTGTAGCAGCACCCATCTCCTGCACCCCAACCGACCCACACCCTCTTGCTCACCATCGCTAGGCAACCAATCCTACCGTATGTTTTTTTCCACGCTGCGATGCCGCCGTCGTCACGTGTTGCTTGCTGTACCATCACGGCCGCCCGTGGCTTGGCACGTGGGGCCCGATTGCTTTTTTTTCGGCGGCATCGACGCAGGACCATCGCGCAGAACATCGCGTACGGCGCGGCGGCGGCAGCGGCGGCGGCGACGGCTAAAGGAAACGGGGGAGCTCGGGCGGAGGGGGTTGGGGAGTTGGGGGGCGGCGTTACGATGGACAAGGTTGTGCAGGCGGCGGAGCTTGCCAACGCGAAGGATTTCATCGAGGAGTTCCCCGATGGGTATGTTGTTTTTCCTTTGGGGGTGGGGCTTGGGGGCGGGGGGAAGGGGCGGGAGGGGAGGGG